GGTTTTGTCGTACCTGATGATGACAAAACCTTTTCAAAACGTTGTACATTTGCTGTTATGTTAAACTTATATTAAAGTTTTTCTTCATTACCCATTCAAGCCGTCTCCAGCCATTATAAGTCAAGAATTATGATACAACTTGATTTATAGTTCTAAAGTATGAAGATGATTCAGTTTACTTTACTTTACCTACTAGTTTCTGTTTAACTTTTCTGGCAGTAAAGTGAATACACATATTTATATACTGATAAGCAAAAGAAAGTATAGCACAGATAAAGTTGGCAAGCATGACAACAAAACACAATAGCAATTTCCAACAAAGTGTATTTAATAGAAAACCAATGGTCAAAGTATTATTAGGAAATCACTTTTATAGATGGCTTACAAATTGAAATGACTGTGATCAATCCTGTATGGAATTATAATCACAAATAAAACAAATGTGCACTCACACACAATTCTGCATTTTTTACCATTAAACAAAGGCTAATATTGTATGGGACCACACTGTGCATTAATGCATGCTTCTAGATGCCTACACATGAAGCCAGTTAGTTGACAGATGATGTCATCAAGAACTTGTCTTCAATCCTCCAAGATGACTTGCTTCTGCTCTTATCTGTTGGCTGTTAGGTTTGGTTACTTCATTATTCTTCTGTCCACATGAGCTCAGAGATGTTCTATTGAGGAAATGGCAGAGCCTCGGTATTGTTGGCTTATATAAACTGTGGTACCATCCTTGCCATGTGGGGTCTAGCACTATCATGCTGGAATAAACTACCCTGATGCCTGTTGTAAGATTTCATTTCTGTAATGCTGACCACTGAGATTATTATCAACTACAATAAGTGGGGTCCTCTGGTCACCATAAATTCCTCCCCAAAATGGCTCTGTCTCCTGGACACAAGACTAGTCTGTTTGCTCCTCTGTGTGACCATACACACGGACTCTGCCATCAGCTCTGTATAAGGTTAATCTTCTTTCATCTGAGTACAGATCTGTAAGCCAGCTGTAGATGTACCACTTTAAAAAGTTTCTAGCCTATTGATATCTATGAAGGTGATGTTCACAGGTCAGTGTAATCCATCTGTAGGGTCTACAGACTCACATACATGCAGCTCTAAGTTGTTCGATTACAATGTGTCAAATGATGCCTTGACCCAGTGAATCTGCTACTGATAACACCACAGCCAGGAACTGGTTTCTCAGATACTGTATGTATAGATAGAGATCTTTTTTTTTTCAGGCATGCCTGTCTGGTGTCTGCCTGAATCACCCCAATGGTCTTTTAATAGTCACTATTGAACACCTGAAGTTTATTACAACCAAGGTGTGTCAGGCCCCTCATATGCAGCATTTCAATTGTCTTCTTTCACTTTTGTGCCATAAGTAGTGGCATATTTCAGCTGATTTTCTTCTCCACTAATTGTTATAGAGATGCACTAATGCACTTTTATACATTTGTGAATGTTTTTTCCCACGATGCATGTATTTCCAAGAGTTTCCTTTGCATTTTATGTTTCACAATCACAATAACATAGCTTACACCTAGGTTCAAACCATGAACATAACACTTGTTTCAGATTCATCCATGTTGGAGGTAACATATTGTGTTGTTATACTTTTTTTTACACGTCAGTATATTTCTAACACAAGCAATTATTCTTTATGTCCAAAAGTGCACAAGCATCACACAGGTGTAAATAAAATAGCTCAAGATTTTTCAAAAAGAAAAGTTATACTTCTATTTAAATACAAGTCTGTAAGTAAACTAACAAGATTTCTATGAAATTCTATGACAAACCACAACCATAAACAATATTATAATAAAAACTTTAGACAAATCCAAACAGAAGCTAATCTCTGCCATAAATACTTCATATATAACATTCATTATTCTCACCAGAAATTTGCTTTATTAACCTGTTCCATAAATAGTGCAGCATCCGTAAATGGAGCAATATGTAGATCTCCACGTGTTGGGAACATTTTTCCTACAAAAAACATTGTGAAGAAAAATTTAATTGAAATAAAAAGTTGTGAGAGAACTGATATGAAATAAGTGAATTCTAATGAATTTTATGTTCATTATGTTCAAATGAATGCTGTTTTCTATTTTCCTATTTGGGGCTCCAGCTGGCACTTGCCACATTTGCCATTTGTAATAAAAACAAACTTTGCTACAAGTTAAAATAACCTGAGATTCACCAAGTTAAAACACTGAACAATGTTGTTACACCTGCATAAAACATATTTAACACTCATTATAAAGTGTGATAAGTGTGACAAAGAAAATGTTAAGTAATATAATTCCAAATATAAACATCTCTGGTGATTACTTGGAGTTATTTGCAATTTGGGTTTACAATATATTGCAAGTACATCACCTAATTACATTTAGACAGAGGTCTACATTAGTCATAGCATTAAATTTGTTTTAAACATAAAACTAAAGGTCTGTATTACCAATGTAACATTTTCTACATCATGTTTTATAACACAACAAGAGGAAAGGGCTTTAAAATGAACCTAAGGCCTACCATTTTTCATGGACTTTGTTGTCCTCAGAGTAAATAAAAGGCTCAAGAGTTAATTGAGCTTTTACTAAATTAATCATATTTTCATATTCACTGCTACAAAATTCTTAAAAAGAATCAACTAGTTTAGTAGAAGTTACAAAAAATTAACAAATAATACTTCAATCCTGGTTTACTACAATGAAACAAATTTTTGACACTGCAAACTATAACTACAAACCATTAGAAACAAGCCACTTCTTGGCATGAAGGTAGGTTTCAAGCATTCTTTCATTGAATAACATGTATCCCATTGGTTCAGATATTATCACATCCACTGACTGTGGCAGAGATATTTCTTCAATCTTTCCAGGAACAACTACAATCTTCTCTGATAACTTATTGTGGTAGACCAAGGTCTGAAAAACAGAACAGTAAATCTGAACTGTTAAAGTATATCTTATGTCAGTTGCACATGAACAGCAAGGCTTTCTCTCAATGTCAAGGATAAGTAAGTTTCTTACCATGGCTCTTGATCTTACTGTATGTTACCTTTTTTACAGCTTTTTCTCTGAATTAATACAAATGTTTTCTGTTGTATGTTATATTGTTAATATTTTTACAATGATGATGTACATTTAAAAAAATAGTACTATATTTGTATCTCAGAGAAGTTTTATCAAATTATTAATCAGAAACTGTGTACCAGATGTTTTTCAATTTCTTTCCCAAAAAAATTGACAAAATTGCATCATATATTTAGAACATGAAAATATATCTTGGTCATGAATATTTACCTCCAAGAAAAAAACATTGAAAATTGTTAAGTTGTGTGTGTGGTCTGTCTTGTAGTTAACTTAAATATATAAATTTAAATAAAAACATTCAAACAAAAATTTGAAGTTTTGACTAATATATGAAACAATAGAAATAGGAATTTTTTTTATTTTGAATAAACTATAAAGTATAGGTCTCAAAGTCTTAATAATCATACTTGGAAAGTAATATTTAATGTTAAAAAGATGTTAATATTTCATCAAACGATCAAGCAACACAAAGATACACAATAGCGGGTGCAAACAAAAATCCATCTGAAATCAACATGCTCCACATACATACAGTGCTTATGTTGTCTATGATTTTGTTTTGTAATATATATACTGTTGTATTTAATAACTACACATACTCTCCTATTATTGTTTATTAAATAAATAATCTCAATAAAACTACAAAGACTTCTGTTATTACACAGTTTTTTAAGTTTCCTCAGCAATATTTTCACACTTCAAGATCACAATATTAAAGGCTTATTACAAACAATGCATCAGTTGATAAAAATTGTATTCAGTATATATAATCAATTAAATGCATTAAAAATATGAAATGACAGGAAGTGATTAAAGACCAAAAGTAATCATATCTGCTGTTAAAATCTGTTTTCAACTTTTCTAAAGTCACTTGTCTATAATTTTGAAAATTCACTAAAATACCATAAATTAAGTACATATACACCTAGATACTGCTTTCTAACAATAAAAATTATTTAAACACTATATAATCAGTAAAACAACTCACAGACCTTACACCAGGGGTAGTCAATAGGTGCACCACAATCCAATACAAACATCATTACATTCCAAATGGACCTCCACATCATATGCAATGTTCATAATTTTTCTTCTTAAATTGCATTCACAACAAAGATAAAACAAAGTGGTGCATATTAATAATTGATAAATAAATGTACATTCTACAGTACACCAGGTTAAAAACTATGAACCCAAATCAAATTTGTAATCTTTTTTAAGAAAAGAAAATACTCTTGAAAAGTATTAACATTTTTATTTTTTGTATAGGTTATCTACGTGTTTGTTTGTTTGTGGGGCATGAGGTGGACCTTGATATTATTGCAAGCAAAAACTAGGACTTTCACTACTCACCCTGCCTTACACTTACAATGTGGCTTTAAATGCCACAACTAAAAAAATTTACTTTACACATAAAGTATAATCATGCTGAAACCTAATCTACAATAATAAACAACACAAATACCTCTGCGTGTCTTGCCATTGAGCTTGCTTCAATAGCATACACTTTCTTAGCTCCTGCTTGAATGGCAAAAAAGGAGAGAATACCAGATCCTGCACCAACATCTAAAACAACCTAAACAGTTGTGGGAAAAAAAAATTATATGAATATATATACCATTAATTTATAAAAGATATACTTCTAAATACCCAACCAAAATGGAGAGATTTAACTTCAATGAAAAAAAATCCTGCATTTGAGTTAAGTTAGTGCTCCACAGAATATGTTAAAACTTTCAGTGTGTATGAAAGGCATTTAATAGCCCAATGATCTTAGCTCAGTCAAAGTATATCATGAACTTTTAAAGTTACATTCAAAACAATATGCTTGGTATTAAAATGTAGTTTATGGATGAAAGTTTTATATTATCTACATTTTAAATTCTTAATTTCAAAAGGAAATATTTAAATAAATCCTTAATCTTCACTTGTCATGTGATAACTTTTCTCTTTCAATTCTCCTTTTCAGAGTTTTTGTATTTTCTTTTATGAGTTTCAGTGTCCAACCAATTCAAAACACAAATACACACATATATATAGACAAACCAGAATTTAAAAAGTTAACATTTTCTTACACTGGAAATGGATTTCCAATAGGTATTTCTCCCCCCCCCCCTCACACAAAAGGGCTATCTCTATCATGGATTGCCCTATAAAAATTGCTAAAAGAATCTTAGTAATCAGCACACCAGTCTTTACACCCACCAGTTTTGTGCCATTTCTGAACATGTACATGCCACGTGACTACTCTCCACCAATAGTATTGAGCTACCTATAACAGTGCAACTAGCTCTCTCTGCTATTCCCACTCTATCCCCACTTTTGAGAATTGGCAGGTACTAGAATAAAAACACAGGTTTTACTAGGGAGGAAAGGTGGGAAGTACCTATCAGAAATACATTTTCAGCATAAGAAAATGTTAACTTCCGAAACAAACTTACCTCCACTTACCAATTGGAAAGTGACAGTGAATGAACAGGTGTGCTTGGAAATGAAAATGAAGCACACCTGTGAGGTACTGCACTACTGCTAGAACAAGTATGCTCTTCACCCAGGAATTAGAAAAGTAACATAAAATGGGTGGAAAAGGTAATGCTTGCACAATTGTAAGAGCATTAAGTAGGTGCAAGCTGTAACAATATATAACAATATAAAAAAAATGTAATAATAATAACAGGTGGCTAGGGCATGTGGACCATGTTATTCATACCCAACAATCAATCCGTAAATAAACAAAGTGCCACACATCAAGCAACCAGAATTACGAAGAGAAGGTGAGCAAACAGTCATAACTGGACAAACTCCCCAAACCACCATGGGAGCAAGAAGTTCAAACAACAGAACCCGGTATTTTGGGGTCTTAGCATTGCCTCGACTCAACCATAAGAACATGAAAAGTTGTAATCGGTATTACGGGCAAACTAACTCAATTCTCGAAACACCTGTGGATTTAACAACCACTCTGTCAGAAGAATCTTGTACGGCCGATATAATCAGTCCATGACCAGATTCAGGGTACCCAGAATATGACATGCTAACAATCTGATGTCATTATTGGGGGCCCACTAGAGGAGATGCAACATTTGGAAATGAAGATCTCATGCCTGGGTATCCCCTTGATCAGTGATACAAGACACTACCATGGAATTGTGGGAGTGGATCATTACTGAATGCAGAAACAGAACACAATTAACTGCCAGGAACTCCAAAATGTTAATATGTAAAGACAATTCGGCCGGCATCCAAGAACCAGAAAACTCTTGAGCATTAAGCTACGCACTCCAACCTAAAAAGGAAGCATCTGTAAAAAAACATGAAAATCTAGATGAGGAAGTGGAAGAGAAACTCCAATGGTATTATTGGTCCAATCCAAACACCAAGCAAAGTCAGCCTGTAGGTGGGGAACAGGGTAAGAGGAGCATCTAAGGGATCCTGGATCAGTAACAACCACTGAAAGTGACACACGTGTGTATACATGAGGAATATGAAAGCTGTAACATCCCACAAAAGAGATAAGAGAGGGAGAGGCCAATAGACTGCGAATGAGACGTTCCATATCCCATAAACAAAGGGTCCAACTGATGAGGGAATTTAAAAACACACCTAGATGAATCAAATATTTTGTGGTGTGAGAAATAACTTCTCCACCACGATGAGCCAACTCACTCTGGAAGCCTCCTGGAGAAGGAACTGAATATGAACAGCAGATTCAACCTGAGAGGAAGCCAAAAATAGCCAGTCGTCCACATAATGGTGGAAACAAAGTCCTCTGGCATGAAGCAGTCGATCAAACATCCTGACTTCTCGGCAGAAGAAGCCGAAGCCAGACCAATTGGTAGAGCTCGAAACTGATAAACACATACCTGATAAACAAATCAGAGGAAATACCAGGATGCCTGGGAGATGGGAATGTGTACATAGGCATCCGATATGACGACCTTCATCATCCACAACCCGGGGAGTAAAAAAACCATTGAATGGTTAAGTAAGTCTCCATCATGAATTAGGGTATGACCAGGAAACAGTTCAGGGATGATAAATCTATAACCAGTCACCAATATCCTGTCTTTGTGGGTATGACAAACAGATGGGAGTAAAACACTGGTTCATAAGGTTCCCCAAGTTTTATGGCCTCTTTCCAAAGTAAGCCTTGTACCACTTCCTGTAGATGCTGGCAAGAAAAAAAGATCCCATGGTGAGGGGAAGGCAATGGGATTAGGAGACAAGGAGGGAGGGAAATGGAAGTGAAGAGTCAGACCCTCTGAAAAAAATTCACCAATGCATAAGGGTTAAAACTGTACCATGTTATGAGAGATTTCAAACATTGGGAATCAAGTTAACCCGATGACTACCGGCTACTAACTTTCTTAGTAGGCAATGCAAGTATTGCTATATTTCATTCCAACAATAAAACTAGTGGACGAATATTTTCAAAAATTCATAAATACTTTGACAAATGTAGGTAGTTTAAGAAACATAAAGCCTATTACTTTTAATAAATTTAGTTTTTTTGCATTATGATCTTTAATATCTT